TTTCTTCCTTTACTAAAATCAAGCAACTCAGGGAAATTGCAATGATAACATTTCATTCAACAGAAGAAAGATTCAGTGAAATGAGTGTGCCTACCTTGCATTGATATACTGCCTCCCTCTGACAAGCAACAATGATAGAATATGGACACTCATTTTCATGGAGTTTACAGTTTCACAGAGGACTTCAACATTTCCTCATCTGGTCATCACAATAGCTCTGAATGTGGAAGGTGGGAAACTTATCTGACAGATCCAGAACTCAGGCTATCCAGGAAGGCTGTAGCAGTCATTTGAACCAAATACCTACCACCCCCATACCCCAGCAGCTTGTTGTTGTTAGTGTCTGAGTCCTTAGGGACTCCTACCTTATATCAGAAGGCGTGCTACCCGAAAGTGTCAAGCTCAGGGACTGCCTTTTATGATCAGTAATTTTGAAGATGCCCTTGTTCTCATATTCCAGGGCTGGTCAGTGCAAGCTACTGTTCCATCAAAAGTCAAAGTGATAACACTCCCCCGTTTCTGTGATATTCACAATTTGGCGATTTCCATAGTTGTTTAGGAAATCCAACTCCTATTAAAAAGGCCATTTTGAAGGTCATGGAAGGGATACATTGCATATGGACTAGTTTGTTGGCCATCTTTCCATTTTGGAAACCTTAAAGCTAAAAGGGGCCCTGAGATAGGAGGAAATTTACTCAGGACCCTGTAAAGGCAAACCCACAAAGCTGTTGCTTTGCTAAAAGAGAGAAAAAAATGACAAAGAATTATGTAACCCTGGTGACCCTGAGGTGCACACATTATGGGACCCACAGATATTGGCACCATTGTGTCCACATAAAGGATGCTCCCAGATTTTAAGTGTTCTGCTGCTCTTCCCAAGGAACAGGCTTTCGAGTGCGGTCCAGATGGTGATGGATGAACACAATATTTCTTTGTCTCTCCACATGATGGGGTAATTGGACGTCATGCGTGGAAGTCGGTGGTCAGTTTTAATATTTAAGTGGCATCAGAGTTGGACGTTATAATTTTCAAAGAGTGTCAAGAAGCCAGGGATAACAATGTCACTTCTACTTTCAAAAATGGTGAAGCAGATGGGCTTCCTTCCAGACTTAAGCATTGAAGATTCTCTGTCATTCAGGATGCCTCCAGGAAGAAGGAAATGTTCTCATTGTCTCTCTCTCACACATACACGCACAGGTCTTAAAATTAATTCCACAGTAGAAGATTAAATTTTGTTTTAAAAAGCTTTAAAATGTAACCTTAGGACTCAGCGTATTAGCTAAACAATTAAATAATGATGGGGAAACACAGTAGCAATCCTAAGTCGGGAAATGATCACAACTACAATGATAATCATTACCTTGAAATATCCTCACATACTTTTCAGAGACGATCTAATTGTTCCCCTGTGTATTCCTCATGGGAAAGGTGTTATTATTTCTATCTTGCAGACAAATATAATATCTACTCTCAATTTGTGTCACTTCTGAGAAACTCATTATTTGTTTTCTTGTTCATGTTCAAAATATGAAACTTAGCTACCTGAAATTAAGTAATTTTGTGGAGACCCAGAGGCAGCAGCGTCTGTGTTTTCAAGACTGATTGGTGAAAATGTTGTGGTTTTCAAACTGCTTTGATCGTAGCCCCTATGAAATTATAAAATACCCAAAGTTATGCGAGAGAGATGATGTAGAATTCCAGTGTGCTTCTTCCTGAACCCCAGTGTATCCTGCTGCTATCCTGAGGATATGCACCCCCTTTATGTGTACAGGTGTAGGGAGAGAGGAGGGAAGGAACTTATTAGCATATTAGCATGATTCTCCTGTCTCATCTCTTCCTCCCTCCCTCTCATCTACCCTGATAATTGCAGCATCACATTCAGTTCTATATGGAGCTCATAAATAGGGTAAAACAGAAGTAGGAAGAAAAGGGAAAGAAGGGAAATGTGTAGGTAGATAACCAAACAGGAAATGAATGGTTTTCCCAGTGCACAAACGGCATGATGTAGGCCAGTGTCGTGTTGACATCCAATGGCGTGGTTTCATTAAAAAGCAGCTTCTACTGCCAAAGTAGGTACATTTTAGCATAAAAACAGGTTGGCCTCAAACAGACTTTAATTCATGGTAACCCCAAGTATGCCAGGGTAGAATTCTGCTCCACAGGATTTTCAATGACTGGTTTTCTTTCTCCTAAAACAGTTCTGGGCATACTTATATCTCCAAGCTCTCTATTAACAGCAAATTTGTCCACATTTGCACCATCCAGAGAGTCCAAAAGTGACTTTAGAAACAAGTACATACACTCATGAGAAGGAGGGAAAACTGTTAGCGATGTTTTTGATTCTGAGTCACATAGCTTTCAATCAGCTAGGTGACTTGACTGCAAGTTTCTCACCAAGTTGATCTCCAAAGGTGGTAAGTTCATCTGACAGAAGCTTCCTCCCACCAGTTTATTAAAAACCTTACAAAGCCTCGAATGTGAGGCTACTTTCTCTACAGATCCCCAAGCATATTTGCATAATAATTCTGACCGTGCTCACTGAAGAACATTGTGCCTCTCCCCTCCCTGTGCAGGTGACAGGTATAAATATAGACATTACTGTCTTCATATTTTGTGAGAGACATTTTCCCCCTCAAATGTCTTCTGCTCCTGTAAGAATCTTTCCCAGTAACAATCTGCATCAGATGGGTTTACCGTAGAGCCAGCTCCTACAAGTTTACTTCATGCTGGTCAAGATTTGATAGTCCCACGTATTTCCAGCCACATTAGTATGAAGTAAATGATAATAATGAAGTTGGAGGAGTGAACCAAGTCTTTAAGAAAAAGTTTAATTCTGAAATGGCCACCAGATATATGACTATGCTTGATTATCACCTATTGACACTCTCTTCATCACACATTTCTCATATACCAAGTAATTTAGGAACTACTACACTTCCATAATAGCTTGCCTCCAGAAACCCTATGAACCTGGAAAGAGGATGAAAGGCACCCAAGCACCTAAGACTCTCCTTCATAGGGTCGCTATGAGTCGCCTGCGACTCGATGGCACTTAACAACAACAACAACAACTATATACCATAGCAGGAGTGGCATCTACTTCCTAAACCACATGCCTCTGGAAACTCTATGAACTTGGAATTGATGATCATTATGGAAAGACATTAGGTCTTTTGTCCATAGAGTCGCTATGAGGCCCGCTTGACTCGATGGCAATCAACAACAACAACTATATACCACAGTAGTAGGGCCCTCTGGTGGCCTGGTGGTAAGAAGCTGTGCTGTAAACCCAAAGGCATGTGGTTCAAATCTACCAGCTGCTCCATAGGAGAAGGATGGATAATCTTCTTCCATGCAATTTACTATCTCTGGAAACTCTTGGGAGGGTCAGCTATATCGATCAGTTCTGACTTAATAGCACACACAAAAACCACAGTAGCTTCAAAAAACCTGCTGTTTGACTGTATCATGAATGAATAACTTATGTCTGCTGATAACAGACACCAAGGTCCCTGATAAATTCCTCTGAATGTGTAGAGATAGCAACCTAGTTTGCGTTCTATTTCACCACTTAGGAAGGAGAGATAAGATCTAGCTTCTTTGAACTACTTGAGTGCCAGGCAGAGTAGAAAGAGCAATCAGGTGGGGACTGGATTCTTCCTGAAGTGTTCTAGTTATCTATGGGGTCTGAGGCCAAGGCAGCAGGAGTAGGTGTCTAGAAGACTGTCCACCTTTGTGGTTCAGGTAGAGGTAGGACCCAGTGTTCATTCTCAATCCCAGTGGGTCACAGAAATAGCTGGGTCCATGGTCCAAAGGAACTCTGAAACAAAGGACGCAGGTGCCTGGGGCCCACATTGGCTCACCACCTGCCTGGCCCTTTACACTTCCTTGACACCCACTCATGGACAGGCACAGGTGAGGGCAAGTGGGATACTTGAGTAGACCGTGGGTAACAGCTACCATTTCGGATCAAGAGCAAAGACCAGGCCTTGCTTTCACAGCCTCAAAGGGAGCTGAGGCTGACTGCGTCTCATGGATACACGGGGGCAGAGAGGAAAAAGGACACCCAGTGAGATCCTGGCCTGTGTATACCCTCTCCGCAGCAGCAGGTCCTCCTGCCTTCACACAGAGAGATCCCTACTGCCAATAAAGCCACAGAGGGTGTTTTGGAGTCTCTGTGAACATGAGCGAAGACTTCCCAACCTGACAATGTAGTGAGAGCAGGAAATGAAAGTGACTTTGGGATGGGGAGGGAGAGAACCCCAGGGCCATCCTGGCTTGGAGGACTGGGTGACCCTATATTAGGGAGGTAGTGGCAGCATATTCACTGTACAAGCGTGTGAGGTGATGTGGCCATCCATGATTTTTGCATAAGAATCTGGCCTTTGAAACCTCAGTGAGTCTTGGCAGGAGGAGTTGGGAGAGCATAAGCCCTGATAAGATGAGCTGTGGTGAAATGTACTTTGATGCTTTTTTCTCCAGGGGAAGATGATGATGACGATGAATGCGGGGAGGAGAAGCTGCCCTCCTGCTTTGATTATGTGATGCACTTCCTCACTGTCTTCTGGAAGGTCCTCTTTGCCTTCGTGCCGCCGACAGAATACTGGAATGGCTGGGCATGTTTCATTGTTTCCATCCTCATGATTGGCCTGCTGACCGCTTTCATTGGAGACCTGGCTTCCCACTTTGGCTGCACCATCGGCCTGAAAGATTCTGTGACCGCTGTGGTGTTTGTTGCACTTGGAACATCAGTGCCAGGTAAAGAATATGTCTCTATGCAGTTCCCCTATGCAGGTCAAATGCTTTCTTTTTTTTTTCTTTCTATAATTATATTTTATTAATTTTCATAAACATGTACAGAGATTTTGGGTTTCCATTCATTCACCGCTGCACCATTCTCTCTACCCTCCTCCCAGTTTGTTCTTGTCCAAATGCCACAGTGCTTGTCAAAGCCAGTTCTGATTAATCTCCTTTGTCAATGTGTCCTTTGCCATTCCCTATCACTCCTCCCTGAGAGAGACTTCACCCTGATTCATAAGGAAAAGGGGATGGTGTATTAGCTACTTCCTGCTGAAAAGGGACGCTGTGGGTTTCAGGGTGAAGATCTTCTCTCACTACTCTAAAGGGCCCCTTTGGCAGTAGGAAACACATAGACTATTATGGAGATTGATTTTGGAATTTAGATGCACTCTTATTGATTGTGCTTGGCCATACATGTTCATATCCTTGAAGATGTATCATGGGGGTGTTGCAACCTAGAAGACACAAATTTGACTAACAAGTTATAAGTACATGAGTCAAAAATTATGGAAAAGTAAAAGAAAAGATTCTTTCATTGTTTTACAAACCCTCCCCCAGGTCCCCTCCACCATGTAGCCCTCGCTCTAGACTCCTGTGATGACAGAAATACCTAGTTATATATCTCTTTTAAACAGTTTTCTCCCTCCTCTGTTTCAGTGCGGTATACATTCTTGAACACATGTTACTCAGTCTCTCCCCAACCCTGAGGTTAGTCCCATTCTACAACAGTGGCATCATGTAATCAAATGCTTTCTTAATCCTTCCTTTCCCATCATTCCTTGGGCTGTGGCAGCGAAGTAGGCTGACTACTATCACTGAGGTTAGTACTCTAGGCAGTATCATCATACCTACAGGCAGGTACACTTTCCTAGAGGTTCTTAAGTACATACATGAAGCCTCCAACAGGTTGGTGTGATGACTGGATTGACTCATCAGCCTCACATTACAACTAGCGCTTTTATGAAAGGGGGAAAGACGAAAAAGGGAAGGGGGAATTACGGAATCGTCTTCAAGGACAATCTCTCTGATCTCTAAATATATAGTTATGGTATTAGTGGTTTCCATCAAACTCTGTAATTGTTGGGAAACTAGGACAACATCCTTACTGGAGACCTGACACAATAGCCTCCTGACACAAATATTAATGGGTGTGAATAAAAAGAAATGTTCAATGATCAGAACAAAGGAAAATAGTCCTGATAAAAATGTGTAGGTAGCACGTATGATGTATGTTTCATGGACATCTCTGTGGGTTTTTCCTCCAGCTATGACTAATTATAGCTCATATTCACTCAGGTTTCTGAGAAAGGTATCAACCACCTAAACATCACATAATGCTCAGATTTTGGTGGCAGGTAGATTTTCCCCTGCATCTTGTTTAAGAAACAAAATAAATGCCTGAGACCTTGTCAATCTATGGAATTATCATAGGTTCAGAAATGTGTGTTTGCAGCTCATGTAATGAGCCCAGCAAACATCAGAATTTTTTCTGTATTCTATATCGACTCCCTGGCCCGAGTTGCCATGTTTATTTCGGTGCCCAGCTGAGTTAATAGGGGAGTCAGGGGCTTCAGGAGCAATCTTGCTCACGCCTCATTGAGCTGGGATATTCAAAGCTTTCTCAATAACCATTGGCCCTTAGAGATGAACAGAGTTCTTCTCAATCATAGCATCCCAGCAGTTCCACATCTAGGTATTAGTATTTAATTTTTTTCTAGAAATTTATTAATTATGGATAAACTCTTAAAATATAATCATCTTGAAATTGCTTTATTTAGAAACTATGCCTCCAGCCATAGAAGCAAGCCAACAAGTTCACTGCTTTCATTTGAGTTTATTATGGGAAAATATGTCATGAGGTCCACTTTCCCTAAGGCTTATGTCACTGCATTAAATGATGCCCAGCTTAGCACACGAGTTGGCCATGAATTTAACCCTGGAGGAGGATATGTTCAAATTATGATAATAAAGACAAAATTAGGTCTCCCAAGAGAGTCATTCAAAATTGGCCTGTCCTTCTAGAAGTCGTCAGTTCATCCTTTTTTAAACTCCTTATTTTCGAAAAAGGATAAAAGAGGTGTTCATCAAATCATTGTGCCATTTCTTCATTTCCAGAACTCAAAACGGACCCCTTTTTCTATATACTAGTCATCTTCTAATAGGGCTTTTGTTATCTCTTGAATTAATGAACACTTTTTTAAAATGTACCGGTCATAGGATTGATTGATTTGCATAAAATGAGTTGTAGATTACAATAAGCTTTAGCATTCAGAGATTTTCTTATTCTGCTGGTTACATATAGCTCAACACTCGGGTAGAAATGCCAAAAGCTAAGGTAACATGTTTAGAGAGAATACTATGCAATGATTAATTGTCAAAATGGTTTCTCTGGGCTGCCATAAAGCCTCCCCATTGGGAGATGAGTTTCTTTGCTCTGTTATTGGGAGAATTCCCGTCATTTGCTACAATATTAACTGTGCACCATGGTCCCTGAACAGTGTATTCATAGGTAATCATATCTGTATAATCAGACATTTTCCTTACAAAAAAAAAAGAGCTGTGCAAATTGAACAAGATGTTGAATGAACACATACACATGTATATTACTTTATTCTCCAATTCTCCTGATTCAGAGAAGTACCTTATCATATAACCGATTCCTCAAGATATAAACTAAAAAAGAATGAAGCTGTTGTTCCCAGATTTTAAAGCCCAGTGCTTCAGGCAGACTGCAGAAAACACACAAAACTAGTCTATTGATGTTCATCCTCCATTCTTGGGTGCTGGGCCTGGGGCCCAGATTTTCCTTGAGGCTAATTTCTTGGCATTTTTGTCAAGAAAGCCCCCATCTGTTGTCTGATGTACTACAGCCTTTTTCTAGATGAGACTCTGATGATTAAGCAAGCATTGAGGCTTTCCCTGACTGTCTCCCTGACTTGTGCAAGATTATATGTCTCATGCTTCTGGAAACTCTATGAACCTTGATAAATGTCAATAGTTAGAGAGGGGATTCAGGCCTTTTATTCATAGGGACGCTATTAGTCATGCTCAACTTGAAGGCAATCAACAACAACAACACATATCTCATTAAAAGTATTTTATCCTGTTTTTTTCAAAATCTATGAAAAAGATAGCTTAGTCCTCCCACCATTCAGTATCACATATTCCCCTTTATCTATTGCCAGAAAGACAATAAATCCTTCAGTCCACTTCAGACTTATGAATGACAGATGTGTTGGTGTCCTAGTGGTAAAAAGCTGCACTACAATCCCAAAGGCACACGATTCAAATCTACCAGCTGCTCCACGGAAGGTTGAAAATCTCCTCTTGTGTGATTTATTGCCCCTGAGAACTGGCTAGAGGGTCAGCTGTGGATTGGTTCTGACTTGATGTTACAAAACAGCAGCAAGAGTCTACTATCATTCCTAACAGTCCTGTGAGAGAGGAAACTGCCCCTACCCCATAAGATTTTCTAGACTGACATCTTTACAAGTGATGACAGCTGAGTCTTTATCTCACAAAGTCCTTTAGGTGTGCTTTGGGACCTGTGTTTGTCCTAAAGCACATTTCTCCACAGCCACCTGTGTGAAGAACAGGTTTTCTTTTTATTATTATTATTATTAAATTTTATTAGTTTTAATGAATATTTACAGAGAT